AAAGCTAAATTAGAACATACCAGTTTCAGGAAAACCCCCCCCAAAAAAAAACTATGTGAAATAGAACATCCGTCAATAGTTGGGGTCACTTGTGCCCTCGGGCTCAATATTGCCATTATTCACTAATGACCATGCTTGCGAACACTTACGTCTCTAATTACAGCAACACTTACGTCTCTAATTAGACTAATTAAAAGATGTGTCCCCAATTAAACTTTCACCCACTCATCTTCCTTAGCCTTCCTTCCCACAGTTATGGCCTCTGCCTCCTCCTCTTCTTCTCCCTCTCTCTTCACCATTATTTCAAACCCCAACTTTTTTCAGGCCCCATCTCTGCATTTTCAGCTCCCACATTACAACACTTCAATAAATTCTTTAACATTCTTGTTTATGAGTTATCTATGCAACGCAAAATATCATCTAGCTGTTTTTGGATAGACTTACATCTTATAGAGACAATGTATCTCTCTAAATAGCTCTTTATGATTTATACTCTTAGGCAAATACTGGAGCAGAAAGAGTGATGAATTTGCATCCAACTTTAGCTATTCAAATCCGGTAATACTAAAACGTTAGAGCAGAATATTCATGAAAACTACCATTATAGTCGTCTTAACCAAGAAAACTTACTCTAGCAAAAACAATGGAACCGGGCTGAGGAACAGCTCCATGGGACTTATGACCAGTAACTTCCACTGTTGGTCTCTGATGATTAAATATTAACAAAATAGAGGAAAACATCGTCAACAGAAAGTGATGAAAACCACATAATTATAGATTAGTCTGCTAGGATTCAGAAGAAAACCTGGTCAGGAGAGTCGGAAGGCGGAGGTATGAGAGAACGGAAACCGGTCAGAGAGGCGTAAACGGTGTCGTGTTCGGTTGAAACGGAAGCTCCTTTTCCGGCTTTCAACTGTGACGCTTTACCCAATACTTGTCCCGGCGTCACCACCTCTTGAGTCTCAGTTTCCATTGCTTTCGTCATTCTCCAGCAACGCAGCCCTCTCACAACGTGTGTTAAAAGGTTTTTGCAGTGTTATATGTGGTTGTTAAATTTCTATTTTGTACCCTATATTTAAGCCTTTGATTCTTGGTTTCTAAGCCAATGTCAAGGGTTTAAGTTTAAACAAAGGAAAAAGTTAATTCATTTCCTTTCATAATTTGATACAGTAGTTGTGTAGTCCTATACTAGTCCTAGTGAAATAATTTGCTCTTTNGCTACAAAACGCAGACCTGAAAAACTATTTGGCGTTTTTGCAGAATTACAAGTCCATGGGGTTGTAAAATTTCTATTTTGTACCCTATATTTAAGCCTTTGGGTAACATAGGTATTATGAGAACCTAGGGTTTAAGTTTAAACAAAGGAAAAAAATTAAAACTTAATTCATTTCCTTTCATCGGTTGTTTTGATAGTTGTATAGTCTATAGTATACTAGTGCTAATGGGAGGTAAAAGATACTAGGATAAACTAGATAAAAATGACACTAGGTAGCCACTCCAAAGATTTGTTATTTAAGAATTAGCTGGTGTATTTTGAATTTTTATTTTTCAGTTTAAATTTTCAGGACAAATATATCTTGAAGTAAAGATTTTTGGTTTAAAATTTCATGACAAAATAAATGCTGGCTAATCTTTAAATAGTATCATTGAGAATGACTATCTGTGCACTTGTCAGGTTTAATCCTATTAGCGAAATAAGTGCTAGCAGCGAAAGAAGAAACAAAGAGAACGATGTAAAATAGGTTGAGAATGGTGGAGGTGGCATGTAACGTGGTGTGGTGTTCATCTCTCTAAAATGTTAATGTTATATGAGGTTCGCCATCTACCTCGGACAACCCTAATAAATGAAAGATATATTTGATTTACTTGAATACATGAAGTGTAATTTTTGTATGTATTGTATAACGAAGGATAAAATTGATCCCTTCACATAGTTAAAAAAATATTTGGCCCTTTTCTATCAACAAAGTTGGGCTTTTTGTATTTTAACATAATTAATGAAGTTACATGAACTCGGGGTGCTTGGTTCGTATTTTTTTTAACAAGGACATAAAATAAAGTTTTTTAACCCGCTTAGGTTTTAATGTGGTGCTAATGTGAAATAACACATGATAGATCAACATAGATAATGTAAATTAACACAAACGACACCATGTAATTGGAAAAAATTAAATCCATTGTACACTCTTTGACTCGGGATGTGACTCAAAGTCTCCTTATTTTAAAAAAAAATAAAAAAAATCCATGAAGAGTGAGTTTTAGTGATTTAATGTGAATTTAGTACTTCATGCCATGAATTTTAATTGAACAAATCAACTTTTAGTTAAATAAGAAATGACGTACTCTCTATATCCTATTATAATTTTTTTTGTCTACTTGAGTCAACTACGCTAATTTTGATCAATTTTTGTAAGAATAAATTCAAATATTCGTAAGATAATAAGGCTTCTATTATATAGCAATTTCCGTTGAACTGCTAGGCGAGATTAATGTTATGTTCAAATGATAATCACATTAGATCATACTCTTAATATTTACAAGAACCTTGGATGCGGAAGCCCAAAGCATATAGTAAGATATTATTATTATTATTATTAGCTTCAATTAGTGCTCATTTGTTTGCACTTAATGAATGTTTGAATTTAATCATTAGACTTCAGCTATTAATTATGTTTGTTTTCTAGGTTTGATCTTGCAGATTTAATGACTAAATGTGTATATTTTTCTTATCAAAATCTTAATATCGTTAAGATGCTATCATTCATTTTGACTACTAATCGCTGTTACCCCCATCATTATTAATAACCAACACCCACCACCGACATCCTCAACTACAATCACCATCATAGACAATCACCACAATCAACCGTCTCTGTCACTAACACTATTTATAATCATTACCACCATTACCATTAGCAATCACTATCATCTACCATAATTATTAACTGCCACCACCAACTACCACCATATCAATTAGTAGTGGCAAAATGGTTAAAAGAAAATAATTAACCACTCATATTATCCATAAAAAAATGGGTTGGATAATGTACTTTTTTAAAAACGGGTCAAATATGGATAAGAACCATACTATCCATTTAGAAAATGGATAACCAATAGATAACCAATGGATAACTAATGAGTTTAATTTTTACATTTGTAAAGCCTCGAATTGGTGGTTCCTCAAGTTGGTGAAAATAGTACGGGCTAGCCAGTTTTCGGACTGGTAATTGAAAAATAGTCATTTATTTTGCTGCAACACAAAAAGTTCCAGTATAATATACTAGAGATTTGCGTACTTGTGTATATGCTGAAACTCCAGTACACGAAAAGTTCTAGCATAATATACTGGAGATTGGAGCACATGTGTATGAACTTCCAGCATATTATATTGGACCAGTATATTATGCTGGAACTCCAATATATTATGCTGGAAGTTCACATGTAAAAAATTCGAATTCGAGTATATTATGTTGGAATATTTACATGAAAATGGCTAAATTTCGATTACTTTTGAAACTGTGGTTATTTTTCAATTACCACTTGTAAATCTGGCTATTTTGAATTTCACCCCTCAAGTTTAGAAGACTAGGAATTCCCCCAAAAGTGATCATATTTAAGAAGTCATGAATAATATGATTACCCATATTATCCGTCGGTTAACCCGTCTTTTATCCGTATTAAATATTGATCGGGTCAGATAATTTATCCGTTTTCTGGAAATGATACTATATAAAAGACCAACTGATCAAATGACAATTAATGAAAAAATAAATTGATACATATAATAAGATTCAAAACCACGATAATAAATTTTGTACTAGTAGCCATTCCAACCGAATATTTGCTATTTCCTTACCTGTTTAATGCTATTTGTCTTATTTAATTAATACATACATTTCTTTTCCTCTCAAAACATGGAAACAAGAACAAAAACAATGTGGAATTAGCATAAACAAAGTAGGAAATAACAAGCCCTTTCCTTTTAAATCTCTAAAAAAACAAAAAAAAAAAACAAAAAACAAATTGCTGATAGAGACTTTGCCTCATCAAAGACACTCGGCCCATTTCACGTGCACTGTGGGTTTTTACCAGGCCCACCATAATAGAAATGGGTACCCCATTCATTGTTGTAATCACTTTTAATGTCATAGCAATTTGTGTTCTCAGCTAAGATTGATATATCTTGGGCCGAGCTGAGGCTATTGTCAGAATCTACAATCTCAAGATTTCTGAAATAACTTGCTTTTCTAAACCCATCTTCAGCAAAATGGCCAGAGCCCATTTGAGTGGACGTGTGTTCTCCATTGGCCCGTGAATTTACAACTTCTCCTCCCCACTCCACCATTGTCGCCCGATCTGCTAAATGAGTAAATAACTCGGCCGGCCAATAGCCCACTAACGTGTTATCACCAAACACCATCCACCAATTTCCTAGCTTTGGATCCTAAAATTGACAAAATTAACAACAATAAGACATTTAACATTTTTTAGATTGTAAAAATGGAAACTTCTTTTCTTTCTACATAACTATTTTATAAGCAGGACATCCTTTTCTAGAGAGATATATAATACCTTAAGATTAGTGGCGTAGCCAGAAGTACAAATAAAAGGTATAAACTATTTGAAAAAAAGTCAAATAGATCATACGCGGTGGTCTCTGTTTAGCTTTGACAAATAAAGTTGGCAGATAACTTTGAATCCGTGAATAACACATCACTTTGAACATCATGGATAACTGGACTGCTTCACTCAACTATATTAAGGGGATTCAAAATATACTATATAACCGGATGACATAGTATTTGACTTATATATACACTATAATTTTCCAGCAAAGAGTATTCGTTGACCATCATTGACATAGTGTGGCCACGACACTGCTTAAGACAGACCATAATAGCATTTGTCGCTTACTTCATTGAATTGTGATTCTAAAAAGAAAATTTAGCTTGGTCATAATATTATCATGTCAAGTTTACTATGAGAGTTAACTATTATTGTAGACATACTTTACCTTATGGTGTGAAAATTGTATATGTACTTAGAACGTAGAAAGGCAAATTGAATTTTAATAGAAAGCAAGGGAAAGTAGAAGGGACCTTCCAAATGAGAATGGTGACATCATACTGATTTCCTTCCACAGAAGAAACTGGAGAAATGGCAGCTCCAATGGCAATTCTACTATTTGTTTGCACAAATCCTGCACATAGTAGATTGTAGCATCCTGTTGCTTGATAGGCATCACTCTGTTCATATACCAACAAATACATCGTACTCATTAGTCTTTCTAACTTATAATTATAATATATAGTTAAGTGTATGTGTTTTCATAAAAAAGATAATATTATCATAAAAAGCTTAATCAAAAGGAGCTCTGAAACTCAGGTATCTACTGATAAGAGTATCTAAGGATTAGGTCATTTATACTTAACAATCCATGTATTATAATTCATCGCATAAAAAGATTTCTGAATTACTATTCTTCTCATAACATTATTTTTAATCGAATAACAAATTTCTACATTATAATCTCCACATAACTAGTTGTAAACTAAATGAGCCCTTTAACCATATATACAAGTCATGTATTAGTCCAAATAGGTATTGATCAATACTATGATCTACGGCCACGAGTTCAAATCGAGAAAAAACAGACAAAATACTTGCGCCAACATAATACCCTCTTGGAATACATTTCTTCTCTGGACCCACGAAAATATGAGATTTTTTGTACGCCCGGTTGACTTTTATTATGATCATGGCTAGTTCTACTTCCTTCTCACCTTTCACTTATGTTTGTTTACTATTCCTGTCTTTGTTAGTGTTCAACAACTTTGTGAGGAAGGTATTAATTATTTAGCATGCATTGCGCCAGAAAAGACGGTTCAAATTTTTATGAATGGTGTTTGTCAATGTAGTTAATGTTATCCATCAAAGTTCTCTACCCTGCCTTTATATTTATTAGTGCAATAAATAACAATTCTATCAAGTAGTAGTAGTACAACTAAGGAATTCATGAAAGATTTGGATAAAAAAAGACACGGGGAAGAAAAATGGAGTCCCAATAATTTGTACTCCCTACTGTCCACAATAAATGATTTTTTTTTATTGTTTTCACATAGATTAAAAAATTCACATTTTAATATTAATTAAGAATAAAATTAATCATATTAATCTTTATTATCTCTTCACATAAACACTCCTAACACATACTCCAATATTATTTACTTCAAGAGCAATGTAAGAAAAAAATAATTAATTCATTCTTAAAATCTGAAAAAAATTAAATATTTTGGACCATAAAAAAAGACCAAAAAATCATTTATTGTGGACCAGAGTAAGTATTTACTGCTCATGATTCCAAGAGGGATTCCTTACCATTACACAGCTCCACATGTACTAATTAAAGAAGAAAACTTTAAGTTAAAAATTTGCGTAGTCTTTTTTCTTGGACCACACTTGCATTTACACCACTCGACTCTCTAGCTGTGGGAAACCAATAGTCATTGCATTGCATGGTTAATGTGCTCTTTAAATGTTGACTCTTAACCACTCATGTGCTTCATTGCCTTTCTGTCTTCTCCATCCTCTCTTTCCCCTTTTCACTTTATTTCCATTCTAGTGCTCTAAGTTTTACTTGTTTCAATTTAATCCTTTAAATCTTTCCTATTTCTTTCTATACCCTCACTCTCTTTTTTCTTACCTAATACTCTTAGTAGCTGGTCTTTGAAAAATCACATGAAAAAACTGCTTTTTCATATTATATTATTAAGGAGTTAACTTTATAATATTGATATTGTAAAATATATTACACTTTATGATTTATTGTTACACTTAATTTACCTTATTTTTTAGATTACAATTGTTATTAACTATGAACATTACTTGCAATTATCTTTTATACAACTTGATAATATTTTTTTATACTGTTAATATATACAAGTTAAGTTTTGTTATTATTGTATTCAAGTTACTTTCAACATCAAGATAATTGACGGAGGTGGTGCTTTGAACGTTTTCGCTGAAGGCAAAAGTTGTTTTTCCTCTTATAAATGTATATCTGTCGTCATTCATACCATCCTCTATAAGGCCTATTCTGATAATTAACTTATTCCCCCTCCCATAGAAATTAATGCAAAGGCTGAAACCGCGCATCCTTTGATTATTTTGTATTATTGTTTAATTTAATTTAGTATAAGAACGAGTGAACGACTAAGTAATAATTAATCATCAAAGTATTAATTAGCAAGGAGTTGACTATATTGAGATCTAGACACTTCACTAAAAAACTGATGAAATCAGAGAAGCGATTATATTACTTTAGTTTTTTTTCCTTCTCCAGCTACCCTATTGTCCTTAATTTATTCATGGGGTATGGTTTTTCTTTTAATTTCCTATGTTCCTCTGTATGTGCCAAGATTCAGATTACAATTTTGTCCGCAATAGAATGGGGAGTTGTGAATTAATTAATTATATGGTATATTGAAAAAATCTCAACAGCCAAAGGGGACATAATTTATTAGGTAGATAACTTCCAAGTTCCAAAGTACGAAGCTCCCCAAATAAAAAAAAAGGTTGGAAGTTTCCATTGACCCAAGGCAAAGTTGACTTTGAGCTTATTCTGATTTGAATCCCAATAGTAAACTGATAATTAATTATTAATTTAATTAGGTGTTACCTCAAGGAAGAATCTCCCATCTTCCCTTTGAAATTAAAATTAATCTAATGGAACTCTTAATTAAGTGGTTAAATTTCATAGACAAAACATGGGTTTACATAAATACTTTATGGAACTCTTCTCTCACTTAAAAGCTAAATATTGAGAAGAACTGTCCAAATCAATAAATTTCATTCTTAGCAGATGTTTCTTGACCCCCCAAAAAATCCCCTTTACACTTTTATTTAATCTACTTCGAATTTAAAGAGTCAGTTAAATTCTTCTTTGATTGTAACAATAGATGGCAAAGATATATATATATTGAAGTAAAATAAATATAAAGTTCATTTGATATTAATTCATTTGTTTGTTTATTTGATGAATTTAAATGGTATGAATAAATTAGAATAAGAAGAAAAAGGAAGGGAGTGAAAGCTAACCGTCCAATATGTAAACAATCTAGGTCTGCTGTCACCATACAGCTCCGGACTAACCTGACTAGTAGAAGAATCAAAGCTTTAGTAATTCAAATTTATTTTCTTCTTACCTCAGCGGCATAAAATTAAAAATATCTTCTTCTGAAAAAGGCTATATTTTTTACATTTAAAATAAAGCAGAATATGAATATGAATTTAAAAACATAACATTATGAAAGGAGTAAAACATTAAATTCATTTTTCTCTTTTACTGAAAAGAAAATTGAAACGAGTCTTTAATTTTTTGTTTTTTCAGAAAACAAAAGAGAAAAGAGGAGGGATAGTGTGTGGGAAGGAGTACGGAGTACCTGCCAACCAGCTTCGATGCTGTTAAGATCAGAGCCGTCAAAAGATCCAGATAGAACCCAAATCTGAGAGAGACTGAACTCGTTGACCACCTCGATTGATGGGTCCCATACGTTTATTGTTGCTTTTGCCCCATATATTTCTTGCGAGGTTCCCGTGTATGCTATTGCGTGCTACAAATTTTATTAGTAATAATGACAGATTCAGAATTTTATAAAAATGCCAACTGAATTCAACATATAATAATATATATACCAGAATTCTGAGCTTCGGCAAAAGTCATAGTTTTGTCTAAAATAAATAAATAAAATTTTAAAACTCGCACTTTGATTTACAACTTTTAAATCTTAGATTCTACCTCGGATAAACAAGGATCATTACAGTTTACTTCATCATCTATAGATTAAGTTTCACATGAACTAATAATTGCTATTTGGTAGTAATTAATGCACAAGAAAGAAAGTGAAGTTTCGATAACTTAATTTGTTGAGAAACAGCTAGCAACAACCTCATCATAGTTGCGATAATTAAGGTTATAGGAAATGATGCTAAGATAATTATCATCATCTAACATGAATTATTTCCCTACCAAAATATGGTGACAAGACAAGTTATCTTTACAAAATAAGAGTTACTTGTATAAAAGTTGATATGAACTTATCAAAATTTGAGACACTCTAGCTACTAGTACAAGATTTGCATTTAGGCTAAGGTGGAGCAATGGATTATAAAATCGGAATTAAAAATAAGTGAGTTTTTTTAACATAACTACCCCAAAATAGTGCTCTATTAAACCTCGAATAGTTTTTTTCCTAAATTTTGACACTAATAATTACATTATGGAAAGGACATAACAAAAGACATTAATATATGTGATTGTTTACTGATCCCTTGATTAATTAACATGGTTTATTACATGAGTCGCTCAGTTTACAAGATAACATATGTTAAAGTGCCTACATATACACTTGTCTGTCGCGTTACAGAATAAACCCCGAAATTCATTTCACTTCCCATCTAATGCTCTGATCATAACATAGGTTCTACCTTAAAATAGCTTACATACTCCATCCATTCGCTTTTTACTTGTCCACTATTTTAAAAATAGATTTTCACTTTTACTTGTCCACTTTCGTATATCAAGAGAAAAATAATCTATTTTTCCTATTTAGCCCTTAGCATTAATTACTTATTCCAAATTATTTTTCAAATCCATTAAGACAATACACCAATTAATATGGGTATAATGGTAAATTATACATTTTATTTATTACTTCTTAAGAGGTGTGCAAAGCCCATAGTGAACAAGTAAAAAGTGAACGGAGGGAGTACTATTTACGTAATTTAACTTTGGGACATTTACACCTTATATACAACTACCCCGAGTAGTGGATTCATTAATGAAAAGATGTACCCAACAAACGCTGTACATTGTTCTCTAATTGTAACACGTACATGCAAAATATTACTGTCCTTAACTTCTATAGTTCCATCGTCTTCAAACAACAACAACACATCCCCAATATTAATTAAGTGCTTTATAGGTTTCTTTATCACAAGCAATCCCTAATTCCTATATGTATGGTTGGAGTGGATCGTTTAATCCACATATATATACTAGTTAAATGTAATTATAGTTGGGACAAGTAAATAATATATAGTACCTGAATTTGGTCTATTCCCATATTATTATTTTTATAACAATGGTCACTGAATCAATTTTGTGCGCAACTTAACTATTTCATTGGATCCTTATTTTTTCCACTAATACGGGAATTGAATAACTTTGCCGTCAAAAACTAAGACAGACAAAATGCTCCCCAACTCCACCTCCATATCTATATGAGTCGTGAGATTTGTTACCTTGAAATTAAAAGAAGTTACATTCTACAATTAATAGATAAAGATGATTTGATGATGTAATTTCTTTTACAACATTAATAGTTTATATAATTTAACCTCTACAAAAATTGCAAGTGGAAATTGTAAAGATGGGTAAAATTAAAAGAGGCATGTCTAAGTACACAAAGACTACATTAATCACTAAGACATGACTAGACAAAATGCTCCCCCATATATCCATATATAGAACAGCAAAAAGAGAAAAATGTAAAGATGAGCAAAAGTAAGTTTTAGTACGTACCTCATGGCCATTGCCACTGACAACATCAGGAGCATCAACACGACGAGCAAGAGGTAATCCATGGCGTTTTTTCTTGCCAAAATCATACAAAGACTTTGCTCTGAGCACATCATGCACTTTGCTCCGCCGTATCGGAACCGTTCCTTTAGGGCAGCGCTGCCCATTTTTGTGCCATAGCTGCCAATTTACTGCACTCAATCTTTCATCACTTTTGCTACTGTTACTTACATCTCTCACGGCTTCTGTTTTTACCATCTTCAATTTTGGAATCTCGGGTGGAACCTTCTGTACTTACATTGCAATGATTTTGAGTTAAAATTTTATTTTAATCATGAGCTCCATACAATAATGATTTAGCTTGTTGCTTGTGAGTAAAAGAAAAGAAAAACAAAAGTGAAAGTAAAGATGGTTGGTAGTTGAAATACTTATTATTGCACCACGAAACAGGAAAAGGCCACATTTTTGCTAGCTATATCTTGTTTAATATTTGAAAATTACTCCGATACTAATACTCGCTATAAATGAGCAACAAGCGGTGACAAAGCTAAAAATTTCACTAGGAGCACTTAAAATTTAATAAAATTATTATACGAGTAAAAAAAAGTAAATATTGACCTACATATAATTTTTCATATACATAGTATATATAGTTTTCTGATGAAAAGTATTCAACTGATCTGTTGCCTTTCAATATGAGTTATATACCTCTAAAATTCAATATTTCATATACATATATACGGCATAATTTTTTGACGAATGATGGTTTGACCACCCTTGGGATAATGTAGCTCCGCCCGGCAACAAATCCCACAAAGAAAGAAGAAGTAGGTGTTGTACTGTTTAATTTATTAGGTTTAGGTATTATCATCAAACAAAAAGAGGGGTATTTACCTGAATCTTGTGATTCTTGAGAAGAGGATGATCTAAAGCTGGTTGTTTTCTTTTATGAACACAATCTATGATATCTCCATCTGGGCTCTGAAAATTTTAAAAGAAAATCCAAACATCACTATAATATCCCACGTGAAATACATAATGAACAGTACAAGAAATAAAAGAAAATAAAAAACAAAGAAGATGTATCACCTCAATGGTGAAGACAGAAGGCTTGTTAATCTTGTCCAAGTGTCTTTCAATTCTTTCAAGTCTTAAGTTGCTAACTTGTCTATACTTTGTGTAGTTCAAATTACTTGGAATTTTGGCAGCTTCTGCTTTAGATGTTTGGCACAAAAAGAAGAAAGACCAAAACAAGAGTTGTACTAATAGAAGAGGAAGAAGAACTTCTCTCTTCCTTCCAACAGTGTCCATTTCATTCAGTGCACAAAGGAAATGAAAAGAACAAAAGTTTGTATGAGTGGGGAAAAAAAGGAAAGGAATGAAAGAGAAAATTAAAAACTACACCACCATTACTAGAAAAAAATACAGTGACCTTCTCTTAAGCAAAGAGAAAAGGAAACTCAGAAAATGACCTTTACTGAAACATCCTTTTCTTTTCACACACTCAAACAATGCATAAATGCTGAGAAAGAAAGGTTGGTGAAAGAAAATTTAATATACTGAGGACAAAACCCTAAATGAATTTCAGAGTAATGATGATGATGATTGAGAGAAGCAGCAGCAGCAGCAACAACATCTGCATACAATTTATATAAATAGACAGAGAGTCAAAAGATAAACATTGTTTTTTTACATGATGATCTGACCAGTCGAAGGAATTAAAAGCAGCAGAAAGTTTTTACTAATAGAAGAAGAAGATTAACAAGAAAAATTAAAGATAGGTAGTATATTTATTATTTTGAGTTGATAGAAGCTTAGTTAATGGGGGGAAGTAGTAGTAAAGTAAAGAGGGAATAATAAATCATACAGACCTACCCATCTTCTCAACAATCCCCACTCCCACGCACCTTCTTTTATTGCACCTTACTTAATTTGCTTTCTCACAGTTCAAACCTACTTGAATATTTGCATCTGCCTCTCTGCCACCACACAATCTTCACCATTAATACTCTCCTTTCTACCTTTGCTTAATTGTTTTCCTTCTCTCTTTCCTTCTCAGTATAGTCTTCCCTTTTTAATTGCTATCTTGCTTAGCTATCTACTATTGTTTTCTTTTTCTTTTTTCTTTCTCTTTAAAAAAAGAGTTCAAAAGTTATTTGTATTGACGGTGTAAAAGATATTTATATAATTTATAAGGTAACTACAGTCAGACCTCTCTATAACAACATCCTTCTATAACAACACTTTACTATAAAAGTCAAGTTTTTTCGGAACTAAATTTCATATTATGTTATAATATACATTTTCTATAACAACAATTCGCTATAACATCTAAAATTATCTGGAACAAACGAGACTGTTATAGAGAGGTTTGACTGTATAGGTATTCTCTTAAAAAGTATTAATTGATAATCAGGTAAATATGATAATAACTGACTGCTATCAAAGGTTAAAATCACTAATAATAAATATTTACACCGTTAATATTTAAAAAGAACCACATACGATGTTAATACGAAATTACATTAATTTTATCATGAATAAATAATAATGAAAGTGCTAATATATATTATGTAAATAATATAGTAAAAATACATATGATAGACACTTGTCATGTATTTATTGATTTAATATGAAAATCGGGGCTTCTTCTTCTCCCTTTTTTTCGCTACTATAATTCTATTTCACATTTTGATAGTGTTACTTGTAATTCTTTTTCTAAATTCTAGTAGATCTCCGAATTAGTCTACACAAATCGTGTTGACTGTCCCATTAAGATAATTAAAATAAATTAAAAAAAGTTAGGTGAGAAGAAGACTTGAAAGGCAACATATATATATTTGTTGAGCTACATATATGTATATAAAGGAATTGAAAGTGTTGGGATAACTTTTATCGAGGTAAAGACGTTATTAAAATGATTTTGACAGTACAACTCCTGTTAATGTTAATATAATATTAGGGTTGGTAAGAGGGAGAGAAGAAAGACATTTTTGGTTAATCTTTAATTTATCTGCAGTCTACTTGAGAATCTGCTAGTGGTTAGATTTCACTTTATTTTTATATTAATAAACTTATAAACCTTGTATTTCAGCTCTGAGTTCTCTTTTTGTAGGCTTTTCTTTACCTAAAATTCAAGTATAGTGTAAATAAATAAAAAAACATATGTACCGCTTATGAAAAGGATATGAGGACTGCCTAATCATTTATTCTACAATTAAAGAATATGGGGAAACAGTGACCCCACTGAATGAAAGTTCTACCAAAAGGCTAATTAAGGAGGGATATGCTGCCTTGCCAAAATTTGCCTGTTGTGTATGAGTTGGCAGTGTTTATAGGAGTAGTTTTTATTCCTCAATCCCTTGGAAAAAAATGCCTTGATCTAGGAATTTTGATTTTTCTTTAGTTTGACTTGATCCTTGAATTTACTACTACTTAGATTTTATTGGATCTTAAAGTCCCTATTTAAAACCCTAGCTCTTTTTTATCATCTTGTTGGTATTTTAAGCTGTCTTACAAAAGAATTTACTCCATATGAAAATGTAATTTACTTAGAAAAGAAAAAAAGAACACCCACAAAGTTGGTAGGTTTTCCAATTTATTGACATATACAATCTTAAGAAATCCCAGTAAATCAATTAATATACATTTTAATTTTGTTTGTAATTATGCCCTGAATATTCTATGGATCCTGTCTTATTTGAGGTTCTATCACATTTCAGCGTCAGATTTTTTTTTAAAATTTAAATTTTATGAAATGATGGTGTAAATTAAATATATATTCAAACAATCAAGTCACAGTTATAATACAATTGCAAATAAATTGCTACTATAAACATTAATTGTAACCTGGTACAAGAAGGTAACTTACTAGCTATCATATATTGAACGGCACTAATAATAAAAACAAACTTAAATCCATTTTTGAATGGAAATAAATTGAGGAAACTATGATTTCCTTCTTTTCTTGCTGAAGCACCCCACTTTCTATTTTCACTTGAATGTAGAGCGTAGATGTTGTAACACTAACTATTTCTTTATCCAATTTATGTGTTCCTCTAATTATTCATTCAAAAAAAAAATTCACTAATGAATTTACTGATTGAAATTTGAAACTAATAAGTCAAAAACATGTATGTGAAAGAGTTTTGAGCTATATACGCGACGAAACATAAATAACTATATATAATGTATTTGAACCTCGAAGTATGAATACATAATAAGAAAGCCAAGAAACTGAAAAACAATAAAAAAAAATATAAAAAAAAATAATATATATATATATTCTTTTTTTTGTTGTTGAAATTTCAACCTTATTGGGGGAATGAAAGGCTTCTTCTATTCTGTTTGTTTCCGAACATTGGGACCGAAGAAGTCCCTTAATCCATGCTTCACTTCACGCATCTCCATGGCGTAGAGTTGCATCTTAGTTGGTTATTATATTATTAATGCAGCAATCAATAAATATATCATAATAATAATAATAATAATAAGATTTACAATATTAACGCATTCAAGTTTTACAATATTTTAATGGAGCATTAATTATAAGTGTAAGCTTCTATTCTGGAATCTCGAATACCCTTTTGTTTATTTGTCTGTTTGTTCATTCAAATTCAAACAAAAATATTGAAGATTTGTCAGCTTCTTTAACTCTCCAAATCTGGAACTCTGGAATTTGACTCGCTTTTTTTTTTTAAATGTTGGACTACCAGAACACATGCTAGCTGAAATAACATTTTCTTGTATATCTGCTTGAATATTCTTTAACCAAGTCAGATTCTCAAATAAATAATTCTATATTCGCCCATTTTCATGAATTGATCTTAGTAGGTGTAATACGACGTCTTTCAAAGCTTGGTATAAATTAATCTTCTAGCTGGGTTACTTTTTTCAAACAAAAAGAGATGAGATTATGTTAATATGATGTTTGTTAATTTTTTTATAAATTTATACAAAAACTATTAAAAAACATACTTTCATTTCTTTAAATTATAGGGAAACTACCGGCTATGTCCATTTATAAGAAACTTATTACAAAAATTGGCCAATTCATTAAATATTACTAATATTAGTCAAATGTTATCAATATTAGCCAATTAGCTATTTGTAGCTAAAACAAGGTCAAAAGTTTGCTTTCTTTTGAGTGTGTATTATTAGAATAGATTGAGTACATCTTAAGGAGTTTGAATCTCAGCTTTGGGATGATTTGGCGGAGTTTTAAGGTGGTTTGAATTGAAAATTCGAAGTAGAAGATGAAACATAAAAAAATGATCTGTGTATCATTTCTGTATCACATACGTATCATATTTATATCAAATATGTATCACATGTATATCCATTTATATCTCTGTGTGTGATACATGTGTCGCAGAGAAGAAATTTTGAACTCGATTTTAACTACGAATTTTGATACCAAATCAGTCTGAAACACCTCCAATCTTCCTCAAAGTTTGTATATTGACTCATCTATATGTTTTCAATGAATTTCAACCATACCCATTGAAAAATATCCTTTTTTGCTTAGATTTTTAGAATCTTGTATATATATTTTTTGTATTTCATCACCTTATTTGCTACCTTATCCATGAAATTTTCTTTCCGTCTTGTATCTAATGTTGTTGATCACGCTTATAAATATGGAAGGAGTTATTTGCATGTGATTCTTGGAGAGGAAGAACCTTATTTATTTGAATTTTTAATTTTATATGTGTTTGGCTAGTTTTGAAAAGTCTATGATTAATGGCTCGGGGTTAGTGAGTTTGAACTTATTTGGGATATTTATACAAGATTTTCCTTAATTATATTTTTAACACGCTCTCTCACAAGCCAGCATGTTTCTTTTTATCTGTCAAACACGTGAAAGTTATTTTTGCTATTAAGTGACGGTGAGACTTGAACCCAAAAGTACCCTCTAATATTATGTTAAATTGTGTTACCTTCTCATCTAAAAACATAAGTATTAAATCAAAAATACATTTATTTTCTTAATTATATTTTCACCAGAAATTTACGACTTCTCGTGAGTCGTGAGTCGTGAGTCGTGACTACTTCCTTGACACAATGTCTTGTCACACCATGATTTTCCTCTTGAACAGATGTAATATCTTGTTCTAATGTTTCAAATATGGTAATATGTTCAGCTGCATTAATTGATGCAATTTGTACGTAGGTACATGGAAATCCAGCCAGAATCATTTTAATCAGTACGTCTGGGAAAATAATAACTATATGCGATAGTATTTACACTAAATCAAATAATATAAATGTTTACCGGAAAAATAGATAAAGTTGAATTTATACGTGGTTCTAAGGATACGTAGTATGATTTGATACAAAGGTAAGAAAATTAGATTAACGTAGAAATGAGCAATAAAAAGATAGATACAATCTTCGCAAATTGAGCAAACCTTGAGCCTTATGGGATTGATTTCTCTTTAGCCAATAATAATGAAATTCGGAGAGACAAAAGAGAAATGAATGAAAGCTAACAGGACTGGTTACGCCCTCGACAAACTAGAAGGCAGGTCTGATGGTCTTGATGACTGGCTTCGATAGCACTTTTGATTCCGATCTCGGCCGATCATGTTGGATATCTGAACTTCGATATCGGTACTGGTTTCTCTCGTGACTTCGATTTCCATTCAATCGTCGTTCTAGAAGCTCGGTCAAGCCTCGAGCTCGGTTTAACCCGTATATAGACAGTCCCCTCATTTTTTGGAGAGTAAATGACAAGAAACGATATGAGACCTCAATCTTTACTTTTACTCTTATCTTCTAATCATTCGTCTTCTTCAAAGCTTGTATTTACTGATCTCTGCGTTTCGTTGCCTGAGAGCTTGAGTGAATCTGAAAGTGAAAAAAGACCCCGAGGGCGGAGATGTTGCTCCTAAGATGAAGGTGCCCAGACCCCTTAGGCTTTTAAACAAGTTTGTATTTCTGTTGAGGCCGTTTCGGCCTTTGTAAATAACTTTCATCGGGCCATGCCGCTCTTGTAAAAAGATTTTGATGAATATATAAAACTTTTTCCTTTCCATGGCTTCTGA